TTGGCAGGTAAGTTTATAATACCTATCTAATTACACTTTAAATTACACAATACAACGATAGATTCTCTCATAATAAGGCGATATAGTTCATAATAAGGCGATACATGTTTCATAATCCCACAATATATTTTTCACAGTTGGGTAATATGTTTTATAATTCCACTGATGAAAATTACAGGATATATTTCGTAATTAGACAATATGTATGCGCTTTATTGTGAGTGTGTGTGTGTGTGTGTGTGTGTGTGTGTGTGTGATGAACGTGTAACTATTATCTAAGTATCTATTTTTCAACTTAGAAATTCATTCACTCACTTTAAACAATTTCACAAAATTACAAAGTCACTCGACCATATTATTTTTTATTAACCTGCCGTAAAATTGATTTATTAAAACAGCAGTAACCTATTTTTTTTACGAGAGCATCAAAGTCAAATTTATATTGCAATAAACGGTTTTCATATTTCTTTGTTGATATTTGACAGCGACGCCGTGTGGAAGCCTATACTGTGTTCAACTATATTTTGATTCACGACTAAATTCACTTAATAACACTGCATGAAAAGATTACAGTGAAAAACCTCTATTTAAGGGACTATATGGAGAGGAAAATCCCTTATATAGAGGATCCGTTAGATGTGAAACCTCCTACTAGTCCTTCTCCCTTTCCCTATCCATTCCCTTCCCCTTTCCCTTTCTCCTTCCATTCCCCCTTTCATTTGCCCTCCCCTTCTCCGTCCCCTTTCATTCTCCTTCCTTCCCTTTCCATTCCCTTCCATTCCCTACTTTCCCCTTCCATTCTGCCTCATCTCCCTTCTTTCCCCTTTCCTCCCTGCCCAACCCTGCCAGACGTGAGGGCAGGGGGCGATGACAGAGGACATATACCACTACTACACATGTTCATTTCACTCACTGTCAAGGCCCTTATGAGGCAGCAAATCTCCCCGGGCCGCCTCATATAACAAACTGGTCTATCAATCCCCAGTTGACGCGTGGGGCAGAAATAGGTCTGGTTGGGTGACTTGAGTTATGACTCTGCCATTTCCTGAGTATGATTATGATGTCCGATATGTTACACTGAGACTCTACCTTAACTAAATAAGTTCTCTTAACAATGTGACTCTACCTTAACTAGATACATTCTCTTAACACTGAGACTCTACCTTAACTAGATACGTTCTCTTAACACTGAGACTCTACCTTAACTAGATACGTCCTCTTAACACTGAGACTCTACCTTAACTAGATACATTCTCTTAACACTGAGACTCTAACTAGATACGTTCTCTTAACACTGAGACACTACCTTAACTAGATACGTTCTATTTAACGCTCGCTAGGAAATAAAAAAATTAACGTAGGATTCTCTTCACATCACCCAGGGTACCAAATTACACAGCAGCTCACCTGAACTACAATAGATACATTATAAGTGCGTCAGTTAGCAGAGAAAAAAAATAGATAAAATGTAAATCTCTGTAAATCTCGCTTCTGATGCTTTGAGCCGCAGTATGAATAATCCAACGTTGACTGTGATTAATAATACGATGAAAGGATCTGTCCGAACAACACACAGACACACTGACAGAGAGAGAGAGAGAGAGAGAGAGAGAGAGAGAGAGAGAGAGAGAGAGAGAGAGAGGGAGGTGTGAAAGGCTGGTCATGGGTAAACAAACCTCATCCACTTTCACGAACTTCACCACCCATGGCTACTGTCACTGAATATAGATAAGGGGCAGATTATCCCTCTTTTCCAACACTTTCTCTCTCTCTATCTCTTTTCTCTATGTCTACGTTTAATAATAATCTTCGTGTTTGTCTATTTACTTGTTTTCGCCTGTCTGTTTATCTGGAATTCTGCTTATTTATGTTACCACTGAGTTAATCATATGCCTGGCAGCGGTATCGTGAGCTGCCGAACACTGTGGAGAGGTTCTCTTTGTTGATAAGTCCTCATCACAGGACATTTAGTCTGAGATAGATAGATAAATAGATAGATTAGACAGGCAGACAGACAGAGAGAGAGAGAGAGAGAGAGAGAGAGAGAGAGAGAGAGATCATCATACAGGCTCCCATGCAAACGTCACCCAAAAATGAAAATAAATGGACCTGCATCACTGCGAAATCCTTATGAATGTCGACAGCAACACACAAATATACACTCATTCTCCCGTTGAAAGCAGCAATGTAAATTAATCTGTATATAGCATATTTTCAACACTGGACTGCAGACCTAAGCAGAGAGAAGGACAGTCGACATCTCATCCAGGCTGTAACATAGCTTCTGTGCTGTTGCTTCTGTTCGGATAGCATCTCCGTGAGTCAGGCGTAGAGCATCTTGCACTTGGTCCCATCCCACCAGAGGTTGTGAACACCAGAAGAGTGAAGCTGCCTTGATCAACGTTCTGAATTCTCTCCCCGTATGCCCTTATCTTGTCGTTCTCGTTCCTCCTGTGTGCAGCATCGAGAGCTAAGTTACGGTGACATGCGGCCATGGGATCAAAAATCCTGATGTCAAAGAAGGCTCGCTGTCCCTGCGTCCAGAATCCTCGAGCACTGACGTCAACACGGGCTTCGTTGGATGTATTTGAAGTCCTATATTGGAAATTCTCACCGTCCAATGGAAGGAGGGTCGGTTCTACCCTGACATCACGACAGATTTCCTTCAACATATTTGCTGTGAAATCCCATACTTCGTCATGCCTCATGTATACGAAGCCCCCTTTCTTGCACACTATGGCGTGGTCACTGTCATAGGAAGGGCCACACACGCATTGGTAGGACAAACCTTCTACTGGCCTACCGTACCTTAGAGCAATGGCTTCTGTAAATTCTTGTTTATTGAGACTGAAACCATTTGCCCTTATGGGTAACGTAGTTAACCAGTTCGAGGCGCCCACCTCCTGCGCTATAGCTACTTTTTTCAAATTCTTTGGTACTTGCAGCATCAGTTGCTGCAACTTTCACTTTGGCCGTGCTGTCGTTCTGTCCTAGGTTGCGGTGACATGCGGCCATGGGATCGAAAATCCTTATTTAACTGCCGAATGGTTCGACAATTAGATGACTTTACATTTTAAGGGAGAGAAACCCACAACGTTGACGCACTCAATCTGTATTGGTTGATATGGTCAAAACCTGTGAGGAATGAGACACTCGTTAACTATTGATTACATTCCATTATATGTATACATTATACGTCAGTTAATAGATACATTATTCTGTATAGTATGCCTTAGTTCCCAACATTTCACCACAACACACACAGTCACTGTTCTTTCACTCACGTGTGCGGGCTTATAGGTTCACTTAACTCCTAGTATCGGTCTAAGTAATTCCTGTGGTGGCTAGTGTTTTTACTCAAAAGATCTGGCCGATATTGCCTCAGTGCCAGCTAGAGCGACCAACACCTCCCACACATCTGGCGAGGTCACAGGTCGGGACCTGCCATGTGTTTTATCGTCTAGGGCCGAGACGATAGCGCCATCATCTCCTCGCTTAGTAAACAACAACACTTTCTTTTTACTTTTCTCACGCTCCCATAAGTGCAATAACAATGAGCGAGGGCGGCGATAACACTTATGTCAAAGAAGGCTCGCTGTCCCCGCGTCCAGAATCCTCGAGCACTGACGTCAACACGGGCTTCGTTGGATGTGTTTGGAGTCCTGTGATGGAAATTCTCACCGTCCAATGGAAGGAGGGTCGGTTCTACTCTGATATCATGGAAGATTTCCTTCAGCATATTTGATGTGAGATCCCTTACTTCTACTACTACTACTACTACTACTACTATCATCATATCATTATACACAAAAGCGAATTATACTGTATATATACCCGTCTACCCAATACGACTGGTAACCCTAAGGAACCACTTCAGTACCATTACGTAACATGATTGGTCTTACCATTACATAAAACGAATCCCTCCAAGCTTTACACCGTCAGGAGGAGAGTCACTTCACCATATAGACTCACTACATTAATCCCAAGTGGACAAGTTTAGTCAAGACAGAAGACGCATCAGGCTGTTGAAAATTATAAGGATAAACTCAGCATCAAATACAGGATTGACATATAGCTAAATACAAAACAGAACTCCATTGAACTTAAAAAAGCTAATCAACAAAAAGTATTAAATCCAGTTGAAAGAGAATCGTATACCATAATGGCGAGACATCTTACGGCGGACCTGAATCTATTCCATTTATTGACGACAACACGAAGCATTGGACTCTAAACTGGTGTGTTTTAGTATCATGTTGAATGGAGGGGAGACAATGTGGGGGATAAGCGGCTCAATGGATAAGTAGAGAGTAAACGTGGTGTAAAGAGGGTTAAGGAGAGAGAGGGAGAGAGAGAGCTGTGAGGGGCAGGTGATGAGTGCGTATCATTAGTTAGTGGGGAGGGAGTGAGGAAATGCATATTCACACGTACACGTATGAGCTTTATACACACACACACACACACACACACACACACACACACACACACACATACATGCATACATACATACATACATGCATACATACATACATTCATACATAAGGGGCAGAGGCACACATAAGTAAAAATAAACACAGACGGACAGACAGACAGACAGACAGACAGACAGACAGACAGACACACATAAGCGCACCTTCGTCACTAACAGGTAAACTAGATCAATACACAGGTGTACACAAGTCAAAGATCACCTGAGTGAGTATTAAACAAGTGAGTTATTATTATCATTATCATTATCATTATCATTATTATTATTATTATTATTATTATTATTATTATTATTATTATTATTATTATTATTATTATTATTATTGTCGTCGTCGTCGTCGTCGTCGTCGTCGTCGTCGTCGTCGTTGTTGTTGTTGTTGTTGTTGTTGTTGTTGTTGTATTAACATTATCATTATTCCCATTACTATCATTATCTATTATTATTGTTATCGTCATTATCACATGTGTCTCTATATCTACTAACAGCCCCTATCTCTCTCTCTTTACAGCTGGTTCCTCGTATCTCTGGCCGTGGCTGACCTGCTGCTGTTGGTGTTATGTGTGCCTCTTGAGACGCTGCAGTACTTCCTCTGGACGCCTCACCTCTCCCTGCCTGTGTGTAAGCTGTCATCCTATTGTGAATTGCTGTCAGCTGTCGCCTCTGTCCTCAACCTGACAGCTGTTAGTCTGGAGAGGTGAGCAGCGAGGGAAGGTTTTTTTTATGGGGGTGGTTGTTGTTGAGTCTGTTCTTTTTTAATTCCTTCTTTTGTTATTCTTCTTTGATTATTTTCTTGTGTTTGTTATTCTTCTTTTCTTATCTTCTTGTTTTTGTTATTCTTCTTTTTGTTTTTGTTTCCCCCTTGTTCTTGCTTTTCTTTTTCTTTTTGCTTTTGTTCTTGTTCTAAATGTCCTTGTTCTTGTTATTCTTATTCTTTGCCTGTTTTTGTCATTATGTTTCTCTATCGTTCACACACACACACACACACACACACACACACACACACACACACACACACACACACACACACACACACACACACACGTCAAAAGGAACAAGATTTCTACAGAGTTTCACTTCGTATTAACAAAATAAATACCAGCCGATACAACATATTTACTCAGCTCTCAGAGTTACGAGTCCTCTAGCACAAACTGTACATCTGAGGATAAAAAAAAAAAAACAGGGCAAAAACCTTTCTTACAAACACAAACATTTTAAATACCGGTGATGAAACACACTGGAAACACAGGAGAACATTTGTATTGTACAGGTATACTTAGCACCAGAGACCAGCTATATTAAAAAAAGAAGAAAAAATAATCAAAATACCTGTAGATCATAAAATCCTTATCAAATACGTATTAATATTTAGAAACCAGAAACAACTACTCAGATCATCCAACCTCAAAAGAGTTATCTAAAAAAAAAATATATATCTAGACACCAAAACGGCATTAGAAAACAAGACGATAAAAACTCAGAAACCCCCAGAGATTCGTGGTATCGAGAACTCAGTGGGAAGTAGTGTGAGAGATGAAAGAAAACGTGGTCTCAGTATAGAAAGTGGAGTTAATTAATGTACTTTCTCTTGACAAACAAAGATAAAAACACGATATACTTTCTTTGTTATGTGTTTGTTTGAGAGGAATACTTTCTTTTACTATCTATCTCACTTTGATAGTTTATCTCTCGCTTTCTTTCTCACTCTCTCACACCCTTTCTAACTTTCTAACTGCTTTTACTCTTTTCCATTTATTTCTCTTTTAAACTAGTTCTCTCTCTCTCTTTCTCCAAATTAATTTTCTTTTTTATTTCCCTTCCTTTCCCCCCCCCACTCTCTCTCTGTATCTCCCACTCTCTCTTTTTAACACACTAATTAAAAGCTTATTTATTCCACCATCAAAGTAAACCTCAGGCAGAATAAACCACATATAAACCACACTAAGAAAATCTCTTCCAACAGAATAAACCTCAAGCAAAAAATAATAAAACAGAAATAAACCCGGCAAGAAAGTCTACCCCCCCTCTCCCCCTCCCTCCCCCCTCTCCCCCAATTTGCCGTGTCTTGCATTATGTGACTCTGCTCCAACCCAACTCGTATTGTTGACATTTCTTTGTACACATCCTAGCACTCAGACACATGATACTGTAGTCTAGTGTGGACAATGCTCGGAGAACGTCCTATTCTGAGAGTTTATTCAGAACACGAGAAACATGAAGAATTAGATTAATTTTTCTATTTAAATATTTTTTTTTTTGGGTAAGGGAGGGTTTGTTATTTTTCATAGTTTTCTTTGATCTTTCTTTGTTTTATATTTTTGTTGTTGTAGTTAGAGGGATTATTATTATTATTATCACAAAGATATATTGCACATTAAATCAACAATACTTATAAGTGCTGTAAAAGTCGCGTGTAATCTGCTTTTACTGTAGTGACGTGTACTTCTGATCCCTTACAATCCTTCACTAATGCTATTGGATTCTCCTTCAACGTTTCGTCTTTGTTTTCTGAACCTGTCAACACTCCGGCGTCCCAAACGTTTATTTCCTCCACCTACCCAACGTCTCTGAGGGGTTTTACGATCTTGCCAGAGTTTAATAAGAGCGACCGTGTGTGTGTGTGTGTGTGTGTGTGTGTGTGTGTGTGTGTGTGTATGTGATATATCTAAAGATGTACCTTACAGTCAATATGTACTGTACCTTATCTTTGTACCTGCATAAATATACCAACACACATAGTAATAACCTCTGTGTACCGTTACTATTACTCTATTCCCCTGTGTGTACCTGTACCATATTACGAACGTACTTGACGCCCTCTCTCTCTCTCTTTCTTACTCACTCACTCACTCTCTCGCTCTCTCTCATGCACAGGTACATCGTCATTGTCTACCCTATGAGGTCACGTACCTTCTGCACGCTCAGTAACTGCAGGAGAGCCATCATCGGGGTCTGGTGCGTCTCTCTGGTTCTCTCTGTACCTGCCGGCATAACACAGGTGAGTTAGAGAGATATTTCACCGTAACATAGACGAGAATTAACGATATATTTCACCATCACATAGGAGAATTAACGATAAATTTCACCATCACATAGGAGAATTAGTGATATATTTCACCATCACATAGGAGAATTAACGATATATTTCACCATCACATAGGAGAATTAACGATATATTTCACCATAACATAGGAGAATTAACGATATATTTCACCATAACATAGGAGAATTAACGATATATTTCACCATCACATAGGAGAATTAACGATATATTTCACCATCACATAGGAGAATTAACGATATATTTCACCATAACATAGGAGAATTAACGATATATTTCACCATAACATAGGAGAATTAACGATATATTTCACCATGACATAGGAGAATTAACGATATCTTTCACCATCACATAGGAGAATTAACGATATATTTCACCATAACATAGGAGAATTAACGATATATTTCACCATAACATAGGAGAATTAACGATATCTTTCACCATGACATAGGAGAATTAACGATATCTTTCACCATCACATAGGAGAATTAACGATATATTTCACTATAACATAGGAGAATTAACGATATATTTCACCATAACATAGGAGAATTAACGATATATTTCACCATCACATAGGAGAATTAACGATATATTTCACCATCACATAGGAGAATTAACGATATATTTCACCATAACATAGGAGAATTAACGATATATTTCACCATCACATACACGAGATCGGGAAAAATTTCATCATCACAAATACACACTACATAACGTAATTAATATCTGGGATAATTAAGTAATGTTATGTGTAATTGAGATGAATTTGTCATGAGAACAAATCCATTATATTGCTGAAGGAAGGAGGAGAGGAGAGGAGAGGAGAGGAGAGGAGAGGAGAGGAGAGGAGAGAAGAGAGGAGAGGAGAGAGGACAGTGAGGAGAGGAGAGAGGACAGTGAGGGGAGAGGAGAGGAGAGGAGAGAGTAGATCAAGGAGAGAAAAAAGAGTAAGTGAAGAAGAGTAAGGAAAGAGAAAGGAATGGGGTGAAGAGAGAGGGGAAGAGGAGTAAGGAAAAAAAATAAACTAGCGATGAAAACCGAGAGAGGTGGAGAAGAGAAGATAAGGAGGGGAGGTATAAAACGAGGAATGAAAACAAGTGAAGCAGAGGCGATTTACTTTAAGAGAGAGAGAGATAAAAATGCACACAAACACTCAATCTAGCTATCTATCTATCTATCTATCTATCTATCTGTAGGTATAGTTAAATTGGCACTCTCTTGGTACGTTAGTTCCGGGTCGCCTAACAAGGAATTTCAACGGGATATTTTTCGGCTTTGGGAATCTTTTTCACCTCCGACCTCTGATATTTTTCAAAACAAATTTACATCTACTCATTTAAATCCATATGAAATGAAATAAAAATATGAATATTAGATCTAAGTGTTGTTTTTTTAAATCTGAATTAAATGATTTTAAGTTAAATCTGAAATCTGAATCTTCTTTTGTTATTTTATTGACGTGTGTGTGTGTGTGTGTGTGTGTGTGTGTGTGTGTGTGAGTGTGTGTGTGTGTGTGTGTGTGAGAGAGAAATTATGAGTTATTATGAGTATTGGAACCTTTTGAGTTGTTATTTCTGAGCTGTGAAATAATTCTAATAATTTTCCTTCTTATTTTTTATCTTCGATTATTTTTATTTTATTTTTTTATTAAACTCTTTATTTATTTATTTTTCCCTCTGGTTTTATTATTATCTACCTTATATGTCTCTTCTCTTCTGTCTTTGTCTCTTTATTCTCTTTCTCTCTGTCTCTTTTATTCCCTTTACATTTTGTCTCTTATTCTCTTTTTCTCTCTATCTTTTGTTATCTATCTTTATGTCTTCTTTCATTCTCTGTCATTTTTGTTTCCTCCCTCTCTATACATAGCTCTCTCCCTCTCTATCTCTCTCTCTCTTACTTATTCTTCGCATTTTCCTCTTCCCTCTCTCTCTCTGTCTCTTTCTCTCCAGTTTCACTTCCTCTTCCTCTCTTTCTCTCTTTTCCATCATTCGTTGTTATTAAAGCTACCTTCCCTTCTCACTTTCCCGCAACCAACTGCAACCATAAAAAATAACTGAAATATGAAAGAGTGAAGGAGTTGGTGTGTTGTATTCTGTATTTTGAGTTGAAATATTTGAGGGAAGAACGTGCTTAACTTATTTAAAGCTACAACGTTTGGAACCAAGAAGTTATGGCCTGCATCTTGTATTTTCAGCTAAAATACAGAACATACTACAGTTATATACTGACTTGTAACGTTTGAAAGCAATAAGTATTAGAGTTGTCTTTTAAACACGAAGTATTTCATCTATATACCGTATTGTGAGAAGTGTCTTCAAAATATATATATATTTGTTTTTAACGGGGATTAGCCCACCAGGGCAAGGTCAATGACCCACATCAGGACCAGGGGGCGAAAAAAAAAAAAAATAATAATAAAGAACCATAAAAAAATATCAATAGTGAGAAACAATATACAGTATGTATGTTGTGTTGTCAAGGTAAGAGAAACAATTGAGACCCTGCAATTGTGTGTAAATAAGGCAGAAAGTCAGATCAGCAACCTGGGACTTGGTCACATATGGCAGCAGGGTCTACAGGGTCTACCATTAGACAACACATGTTTCCAACATCTTCCCAGGCGGTAGTACCTCCCTGTTTGGTAGCTGCAGACGTGACTGACGCTCAGGTAAGGGTTAGGTGCTCTGGTTAAAGGTCGTGATCCAATTTAGGTAAATGTTTTGTTGACAAGACTGGTGGGTGGATTTTTTTTTGATATGCAAATTAGGTCCTTCCTATGCATTAATGACACTTTTGATGTGGTCTCTCTCTCTCTCTCTCTCTCTCTCTCTCTCTCTCTCTCTCTCTTTATCTATCTTCCCTTTCGATTACTTCATTTTCGTAGATGTTATTGCCTTTATCGTTCTTTCTCTGCCTTTCTCCCCCTACTCTCTCTTTTTCCCATCCTCCCCTCCGTTCCTCTCTTCTTCCCTGTGTCTTTCTATTGTTCTATCTTTTCTTTCCTTCCTCTCTCTCACTCTCATTTATCTTCTCTCCCATATGTCTTTCTCTCACTCTGCCACCCAGCTTTCCATTTCTCACTATCTTCTCTCTCTTTACCCCACTCTCTCCCTCCCTCCCTCTCTCCCTCCCTCTCTCCGTTTCACTCTCCCTCTTCCTCCCTCCCTCCACCACCTTCTCTCACCCCCCATCTACCTCCCCTCCCCCTCCACAATCTCCCTCAATCTTGTCACAATAATGGAATTTCTACAATCTTGATGTCCCCAAAAAAAAAATCAACAGAGGAAAAAACATTTATCCACGTTCAGCCTCGTGTGTGTGTGTGTGTGTGTGTGTGTGTGTGTGTGTGTGTGTGTGTGTGTGTACCTCGATAGATACACTAAGAACTTCAAGTCTGGATAAAGTTTGAGAAATAAAGACGATTAAAAAAGACTTGACTATCGACAAGTTTTGAGTTCACAGACAGACAGACAGACAGACAGACAGAGGATAAGAAAATATACAGCTTGTACCTAATCGTATTTCTAAGGTTCCCTGATGCTTACATGAGTGTTACCTTCCCCTACACGGTCAAATAAGTCCCCTACATCCCCTACACGGTTAAATAAACCCCTACATCCCCTACACGGTTAAATAAACCCCTACCTTCCCCTTCACGGTCAAATAAGTCCCCTACCTTCCCCTACACGGTGACATAATCCCTAGTGCGTGACGTGGCCTTCTAGACCGGACTCAATGGCACATAACTCAGCCTCTACAGATGACCGCGGGAGTCGTTATGATCTTCACCGTCTCGATAAGAAACTTGGTCTCCTTACTAGTTTGGCTGTTACCACCCCTTCCCTAGTGCCTGATATTTACTCTCTCTCTCTCTCTCTCTCTCTCTCTCTCTCTCTCTCTCTCTCTCTCTCTCTCTCTCTCTCTCTCTCTCTCTCTCTCTCTGGTCAGAACTACTTACAGTTTTTAGGTTGAGAGTTGTATTATGTTGTTGATATATGGATGATTTGGAGTTTGTTTTGATTTAACCTAACCTAACCTAACCTAACCTAACCTAACCTAACCTAACCTAATCCTAACCTAACCTAACCTAACCTAACCTAACCTGCTGAGGAAGGAGGGATGGATGGAGGGAAGGAAGCAGGGAGAGAAAGATCAGAGGAGGAATAGAAGGAAGAGGAGAAGGAAAGAGGAGGACGAGAAGTAGGTGGAGGATGAGGAAGAGGCGGAAGAGGGGGAGGAGGGGAAGGAAAAGGTGGATGAATAATTCAATAATGAAAAAAAGATGGAAAGATCATATAGGGAGATGATGAGTTGGCTTATGAGAGAGAGAGAGAGAGAGAGAGAGAGAGAGAGAGAGAGAGAGAGAAATCACCTTCTCTTTCCCATTCCTTCTCATAACCTCTCGCTAGATTTAGCATAATTCCGAAATTTGGTAGCAAGAAGTGCTACCAAATGTCTGCTCCAACTACCATTACTATAGCAGTCTGAGTGTGGATGGTCCGTGTACCGCGTGTAATGGGAGGATGGGGTCATATTTTACCTGTAATTGGGTAATAGGGAGGACTATTTCCCCCCCTTCATATCACCTATTTAGTGCTTATGTGACACCAATGTTGACCTTTTTTCCTCACTTCACAGTATGGAAAGAGAAATGTTTTAACGTAAAGGAATTAATTGGTATCATTATTTAAATTGATTGATAGATTAGACAGACAGACAGACAGACAGACAGACAGACAGACAGACAGACAGACAGACAGACAGACAGACAGACAGACAGATAGATAGATAGATAGATTAAATAGATTAGATAGATTAGATAGATAGATAGATATAGATAATTTTAAAACTCTACGATTTCAATAAAGAATAAAGTTAATTAATAAATATGCAGATAAAATTAAATAAAAATGATTATATACTTAATACGA